TAAACATCCCCCCGAATTTTTTAAACTTTTTTTATTTTTGTGCACATGTGGGGACTGCCCCACATGTGCACAAACCTCCCCCTGCCCCCCAAGTGCCCCCAAAGTGCAGATATAGATATCCGCACGGAGGGGGCAACTTGGGTATTAGTATAAGGATTTCTATTCTTTAGGTACTCCCCCTCCCCTTTTCTTTGTTATTATTAGCTACTGGATTTCGCCCCCTTTTTTCCCAGTTTTCTGAAACAATGAAAGGGTGGTTCTTCCCACTCACTTTTAATTACGTGTTTAAACATAGCCATTGGCTTGTCCAGAAAGGCCAAAAGAAAATAATCTATTTCAGAGACCCTTATCTCTTGTTTTATCAGATCCAGACAGCTCACCTTTCCCTTTTGGCTTTGTAGATTCATCTGAGGAACTGTTTCATTGAATCTGCCTACCTGGTGCCTACTCCTAAGTTTTAAACAACAGGCAAATATGTTTTTTAGTTGCTGTAGGTTTTCCGGGTTGTGTGGCCATGGTCTTGGCATTGTAGAACCTGACATTTCGCCAGTAGCTGTGACTAGCATCCCCAGAGGTATAACACAGGAGTACTCTCCGTGCCAAGACCACGGCCACACAACCTGGAAAATCTACAGCAACTAATGAACTCCATCCATGAAAGCCTTTGACAAAATATGTTTTTGTTTTCCCAGATGTTTGACAATCTGTAATACTCCAAAAAAATATCTGGCATCAGGTTAAATTTTAATTTTTGTTGCTGTGGTTTTAATGTTTTAATTTTTATTTTAACTTGGGTTTAACGAACCTATTATTTTACCTTTGTGACCAACTGTATGGGCCAAAGTTATCTTCTGCACACAGAAAAACACCTCTGTGGGCAGAGGGGAGTATGTGATTTTTGCTTATTCCCCCCCACACACACACACTCTGCAGAACGTCCCCCACACACACACACACTCCATGTTATCTCCAAGGGTTCCACAATCCCTTAGAGCAGCATTTTGGGCATGGAGTGTGCTGAAGTGAAGAGGAGAAGGGAAAGATCCATTCTATGAACTCTGCTCCACTTGTACTTGTTTGGATTCAACATTGCACTAAGCATGGCACATAAATGATTTAAACAAATAAATAATATTGGCATACATTCTATTTACCTAACTGACAGTTGACAAATTTGGCATTCTCGGGACATTATAATATATAATGTTGCATCAGAATTTGAAACCAATTTTCAGGGGGGAAACTCAACTTAAACCATTTGATTTCTATTGTTGCAGTGGTTAAGTAAGTTCCATATGATTATTATTTTGCAGCTCATTTTCTGAGTATGAGCAATGTAACATGAATTCTGTCAGAATGCTTTTAGGAATCTGTAGGGAACCAAGTCCTAGGAAAACCACTGAGGTCAGATGTGCATTATCATGTCCATTTTAAACAATTGCAGGCACAGGAAAAAGAGGTCTGAAATATTACCGGTCGCCCATGCTGGCTTTCATAGTACAGGAGACTTTTTTGGAGTGAAGTTTTTTCTTCTGACAGATGGTCTTTCGTCATTGTCTGCAGTGAAGTAAATACAAGCATCTAAACTTAAGTCCATTTTCTACTGTATGCTTGAATGATAATTAAAGATTAAAGGGGTTATACTGAATAACATCTGAATGATAGCACTAAAAAAGAGTTCTGAAACAAACAACTGCTCTTTCTACACAAGGCTTCCTCCTTCATTTCACTGTCAGGAAATGTTTCATATGCCTTAAAACTGACTGGCAACCCTCTTACATGCAAACTGCATGTATGCATCTGCAACTCTAGATCAGGGCAACAATCTGTGAAACGTTTGCATGCAAAAAGAAATACAAACGACATCACTGTAAGCGACTACATGTCATATCAACAACTTTAGAAGTGTCATAACAAAGTAAGCTTGAGATGAACATTTCCATTTTCAGATGCAACAACAAAGACAAGCATACATACTTTTATATCCTCCGGTAGGCATCTTTCAATTCGTTTTTCCTTCAGTCTTTTTAAAATGAGCTCAACTGTTGCCTCCTTTGTAGGTTTCTTCTCTTTCTGAGCAACTCGCAGATCATCTTCATTTTCTTCATCTTCATGGTCCAGAGAGGAACCAAAGCTTTTTGGAAGTGTGTTGCTTCGTGGACGTGACTGAGGTATGAATTCTCCATCTGAGCTTTTGTGCTTTGCATCTGTTTTCCAGAAAAATCACCCACCCTCAAGTCAACTAGCTTACAGTGATTCTTGTTAAATCATCCCAGTCAAAACATATGTGATGAGCATTCTCATCATTTTCACAGTGATTAGAGCCTGAAGATATATATTGTTTAAGAGGATAGATATAAACAACCTATTAGAGGGCAGATCAAGATTTAGGTATTTCACACACTCTAGGAAAGGAGACTGAAACATGTATACATTTTAGCTTCTCTTACCTTTTATTTGCTTTTTCAATTTGGTAAGCTCTGTCATCCACTTTAAAACCTTTGGATTCGCTGCAATATCAGTATATGAGGGCTGCAAAGAGGGATGCATAATATTGTGTGTCAAAAAATGAGAAATCCTACAAAACCTCATAGGGCTGTTGTGAGAATAAAATGGAATGTACATTATCCTTTGTCTCTTTCAGGAACAGTAAATGTGACAACACTAGAACATTACACATCACCCAGTTACATTGCATAAGTAAATATAAATTCCTGTCCAATAATCTCATAAGAAGTTGTTGACAAATGAACAGGGCTGGTAAAATTCAAATGCCAAAAATAAAGAAGCCATTTTTTAAATATAAGATAAATCTTTTACGAGAGGTAGCTAACAGCATGCAGTAATGAACAAGCTTACCTTGAAGTTTTTCTCTTTTTCAAACTGTTCCTCAAATTGCCTGATTTTTTTCTGCAACTTTTTCACTAGCTGATAAGGAGTCTTGTCTTCCCTTCTGTCATCCTTAGAGCTACTAAACGATGCTCTTCTAGTTCTAAATTTTAGAAGGAGGAAAACACTTAGATACTGTGTTCATGTACTGTTAAAAATGGAGCAAGCCTATATTCATGCTGTAAAACCCATGGAAAAAAACAGAATGAAATTCTCAACTGTTAACTTCTCCTCTCATACTACATTGTTACTAATCCTCACTATAAAGTTGTATTTTGCTCAGAAGAAAACATAGCAGGTACAAAAGCTGACAGCCAAGTGCCTGAGCCACTGACACGAGCCACCCCTTCCTCTTGCCATAAGGTGATTGATTTCTTCCAAAAGTTGTAAACCATAACACCTAAAAAGCTATTAAACCACTACAAGCCCTTCACTACAAGAAAATCTCAGCTCCGTCTCACTACAATTTGAAAAGCTATCCGTTTAGTAAAAGAAACAAAACAAAATTATGCATTCTTTCTCTTTGATACATTCCTTTTAAAAAAATCACAAACATTGTATGTAATGCAATGATAAAAGAATGGAAAAATCCATACTTTTTGTTCCCTCCCTCCTTACAGTGACATAATTTGCACCACAGAGCTCCCCTCCTATATAAGATACTGATCATCTATACTCAGACCACACAGGGCCTCTCCAAAATTTGATGCTTAGGCAAGTTGAAAGCAACAAGAAACTGCATTCATAACAAACCACGGTTTGTGCAACAAGCTCTTGTTAATCTACTGGATATAAGTAACTAATCCTGGTCTGTGCATAAAAAGCCAGTTGGCCTGCTTCATGCCTCCTCCCAGCAGGAACACCACCCACTCTTTACCTTGTCTGTGTCCAGGCTCCCATATATGGCAGCACGACTGAACAAAGTTTGGCAAATCCAGATGTTACAACGAACTACAATCAATATAACCTGCATCTTACAAATCAGAGTTAGATACCTGACTGTATCTGTTAGAGGCTGCTTGCCAATGTATAATGTAACTTAATGAGAGATTCTCTCATTAAACAAGCACTGAGACGAGACCTGCTGGTTCACTGAAGTTACCACTGCAAAGTTAAAAGTTGACATTCTTATAGAATGAAGTCTTATAGAATGAAGGTAAAACAAAGGTAAAATTAGTATAGAATGAAGGTAAAACACCAATTCTTACTAAGTACTATTCTATGGATTAATGCCCCCCATCAAGAATGAGTTCTTCGTTATGAAAAAGTGGAGACAGCTTCAGGGAGGAAAAAGGTGCCAAAGGATAAGAAAAGGTAGATCACTTTGTCCAAGTGCAACAGATACAGAGGGTTGGAACAGAAGGCATACTGTTCGCTAGCTCTTCAGAAAAGCCATTCTGAAAGAAGAAATCACAGACAGCCATTCACTGATAGATGATGCATTAAATTGATTAAGTTGAGAGAAACTCCACAGGGATGCAGTTGCTTCAGAAGTTTCACAGAAACTTAAAGAAACACAGAACAGGTTACAACAAATTGAATCTCCCACAACAGGAGCACTGAAAGCATATAGCTACTAAATGTACACACACTCAAAAGAAATAGGCAGGCCTTCTCTGTGTAACTGAAGAACACAGTCAAGAAGGGATTTTCTTTTGTAAGGGAATTAGAAATGAGATTCAACAAAATGGGGAAACCTGAATGCTTTACTCTGTATTCAATAGAATTTCTTAAAACTCTCAAGAACCTTGTAGGGTTTAGATTCTCCATACTGTTATAACTTCAGAATTTGAATGTTATGGTAGAGAATTTGACCTCAGTTCAGTCCTGAGCCATTAAGAAGTATAGGAAATTCTTCTACATTAGATGCTAGTTGTTGGCAAACTATAGCACACACAGTCTGTGAAGCTATAGAAATGAGATCTGATTCAAAAGTGCCTTGTGGAATATTGGATTAGAGGATACAAAAAACAGAAGAATATGTGTACCCAGCCACATAATTAGGACAGCATCCCCTTGCTTCGCAGGGATCCCAACCTAACCTACTACAAAAACTTCCAGCTTGGGAGGTCTGAGAGGGAACAAGAGGTTGAGGAGAGGGTGAAGGCTGAAGATGAAGTCCTTGTATCAAATGCTCAGAGACTACTCATGAGTCACCTCTTCAGCTCTGAGCTGTTCTGACCAACTGCGAACCGAGAGAGTCAAGCTACGAACTATATTATACAAAATGTTTATTAGGGTACTATTTAGGGCCTACGATTTATGGTCTACAATACAAACGTGTGTGTGTGTATAAATATAAAAAATTCTTATGTGTACATTTTTGGATGTGTGTCATTGTAATATAAAGAATATTGACCACTGAGGAAGGCCCGAAGGGGCCAAAACGCGTATGGTCCTTAGGTCAAAAGATTTTACCCATCAATTGTATCTGTATAATAACTAACTTGCTTGTATAAGCCTTTTAAGTCTGAAACTTAAGACTATTTCTTTTAACCGCTGTATGTTTTAGTTATGTGTACACCCTAATAAACATTTTGTATTTTTTTATAATATAGTTTGTAGCTTGACCCTCTCGGTTCGCAGCTGATTTTGGGTTGAGTTTCTCGCCCGCCCCCCCCTTTTTCCAGTTCTGTTCTGACCAACTACAGGAATCACAACCCCTGTAGTCCTGACTTTCAGACAACAGGTCCGGAGGTCCACTGAAACATCATAATGTTCAAGCTTTGTGACTGTTTAGGTAATATTTGGCGATACATTTTCCAAAGGCTTTCTGTATACTTTGTACTTGTAATGTAAGTTTGTATTTTGTGTATCTAATCATTTCTTTCATGGAGTTTAGACTCAGTTAATGGTGAAGAGTTTGGTACTGAATCCCTAGGTCTAGTCCCTATACCACTTGTGCTACCTGGTACCATAATGTCTGATACAGGAAGCAAGTCCCTGTAGTGAACTGAAGGTATTCATGATACTGAGAACGAAGAGAAATGCAGAAACTTCTGATACTGAATTAAGTTGAGGACAGGCCTGCATCCTTCTTCAAGAGTGGGAACAGAATCCACAGACATGATGCAAATACATATAAGATCACTTCTTTCTGTATGAGGATGGAGACCTTTGCAACCAATTAAGAGCTGTGTAACTCAGATCACCCCCAGAAGTAGAATGAAGCAGAACCTGAACTGGGCAATATGATTTATGGTCTCCCAGTTGTTAACAGAACTATCAATGTTTGCTTCTAAAGGCTATCAGAGATTATGGTGGTATTAAGAAACACCAAAGATTGTTTTGAGATTGACTGAAGTTGAAGATTTAATCTTAGTTACAGAACAGCTCTTCTCAACACTAAGAATGATATCATCTGAAGGAACTCTGTTCTATTCCATTCAAATGTACCTAAGCAGTTATTCTACTTTCAGCTGAAAACTGTGACTTTCATCTTCGAGCCAAAAAGCTGCTACTGGTTAAGAAGAATCTTTCCTCATGCCCTGGGATGATTCCCTTTCTATTGTCAATAACAGCTTCTACGCAAGATTTGCAGTTTCTTGGCATTCTTACTGATGAATAGAGATTTGTGTGTGTTTTATTCTGTTAACATTAAGGATTCAGAGGAAACTAATATTATTATGTGTATTGTTTTGAGTGTATTTTGATAGTGATCCTTTGTCAATGTTACATAAATCTAGTACCTCTACTAGATTTATGTAACATTGACAAAGGATCACTGGCAGTATTGGGTCCCCCTCTTATTCCATAATGTGCAGTCATGCAGGATATTCCTGGGGTCAAGTGAGGTACTACTGGTGAAAGCAGAGGTATAGGAACCATAAAAGGAAAGACACAGTAGCTGACAGACACTTAAGACCACAGTGGTGGACAGGAGAGCTGTGGACAAAACTGCAATGGTCTCTGTCAGCAGGCATAACGCAACATAATAAAGATCCAACCTGAAATCAAGGCTTGACTCACAAGGTTGACAGTGTAACAGTCAGTACTGAGCATGGTGAACTTCTGGCTGATTGGTGCACATTTGAACAGTCAATGAAGCTACAGTTTGGATACTTTGAACCTGCAGGTGTGGAATGGAAATGGATGGTCATATTCTCAGGACCTATGAAATAATAAAACGGGATTTCTCATAGTGTGGCAGATGATCTTCCTACTGAATCAGAGAAGCTATACCCAGGGGTCTTGTTGTAGAAAAAGAGCTGCCGGAGCTCATTAGCATAACTCATTAGCATAACTTATTTGCATATGCCACGCCCCCTGACATCACCGGAAGTGACAGAAGGCCACACCCCCTGACATCACCGGAAGTGTGTCAGAAGGCCTCGCTACTTACCCTCCTGCTTCATCCTCATTCCCAAACGGAATGAGGATCGAAGCAGAGGGCGGGGTAAAGAAGGGGGCGGGGCTTCACCACGTGACCGCCCCGCCCCCTAGAGGTTCTCTTCCGGAGCTCCGTACCTGAGAGCTCCCCCCCGACTAGAGCCCTGGCTATACCTATGCAAATCATGAACACCTGAAGACAAACTGAAAGTTCATTTCTGTAAAGAGAAAACAACTTCCCCTACAGAGAAAAGAAACTCAGATGAAAAAACTTGCCAAGGAGAACTCCTGAGGAAAAATCCATGATTTCACTTTGAGTGGTTAAAAAACTGGGAAGGAAGGCACTTGCCTCATCCCCTCCAAGCACAGGCAAAATATTATTTCTTTTCCCTTAGAAGGGATAGGCATGAATCCTACCTCCCTGTCAAGAATTGCAGAATACTGGTGATGTGTGTTACATGCTAGGGATGTGCATGAACCTAATCTTGCCATGAATATTGCCCAGTTCGTGGTTTGTGACCCGAGGGTCGTGCACTCATGCCTGCAACAAACCTCCCATAGACCTCCATGGTTGGAGGTTTGTGCAGCAGACAAGCTGGTGCCAATCAATTAATCATCAAAGCAATGCAGGGGATGGACTTCTGCAGCCCTGGAAACACCAATAGTGGCCCTCCAAACATCAAACAAAAGTGGAATGTGGGGGGTGCAGAGGAAAGCATGAAAGATCCAGGGTCAGGGGTGGAAGGAGATGAGGGAGAGGATGGGTGCCCGCCA